TGTGGGCCGGGGGCTGTCACTGTCCTCATCCTCTTCGGAGGATGAGGCAGGATGGGTGAGGGCCTTGAACCTCTCCCTGACCGTTGGGCTCCGGTGACGGTGAGCCCTGCAGGCCAAGATGGCCTGCTTCCGGCCAGGCCTACTTCCGGTTCCGGTGACGTGGGAACCGGAAGTGGCTGGAGAGGGGGAGGTGGGGCTAGGCCCACCTCCTGGGGCGGGGCCTTCTGGTAGGGGGTTCCCTCCCACAGGGGCGTGGCCTTCCTGCAGGCCGGTCCCTCCCACCGGGGGCCCACTCAGGGGCGCGGTCAAGGGGATGGAAGGGGCGGGTCCCGACGATGACACCATCGACGCTGTGGATGGGGCGGGACCCGACGCAGGGGCGGCACTCGGCAAAGGAGAGGTCAAGAGGGAAATGGCGGGAGCCCGAGGGGAGTAGGGAGGAGCAGGGACGCCATTTTGTGGAGCTTGAGGTGCCAGCTCGGCCATGCGGCCGGTGCCATTTTGTGGTGGATGCTGGCATAAATTGGGGATAGAACAACATGGCTTTAAACTAGGGACAGGGGTCTGAGGATTGTGGGATGAGGGAAGGGTCGAACTGGGGTGGCCAGTCCCAGACCAAAAAGAGGACAGGATGGGACGGGGGGCAGCAGGGAGACGGTGGCAACCCTGTGCCGAGGTTTGGCAGGGTCTGCCGCCCGACCCACCCTTAGGGGAAAAAGGGTTAGGAGTGGGGGGGACGGAATGAGGGGTCGGTGAACTGGGCGCCCAACTCTCCCGTTTTAGTTTAAATAATGTAAAAATAGAATGAAAGAGAGGAAAAAAACATCCCACTTTAAAATTCCCCTTAACTTGTAAGTCATATAAAAGTCGCCCAACCTTTCCCCAAAACTGAACAGAATTAAAATCTTCCTGCGCGGTGTCAGGAAGATGGTCGAAAATTAAATTAAGTAAAGCTTTAGGATCCCTCTTTTTAAAAGAAATATTACCCAGAACAAGGGAAGATTTAACATGGGAGTAAAAATCCCGCCGAGCCGGAGACATACGGTTTCCCATAATGTCTGTGTTGCTAAAAAATCCCAAAAGAGGTAAAGGAAAACAGAAAAGAAAAGAGACGGGGTCAGGTGCCAGACGGGGCACGGAAACCTCAACAAACGGGACGCCCGTCGAAAAGAAGAAACCTCAATGGGGGGTGGAAGCGCTGCGGGTCCAGAGTGCGAGGGAGCTTCCACAAAGCTGCTGTTCCTGCTCCTCCAGTTGTCCGCAGCCCACGAGCCGAAGGGTCTTTGTAGAATGAAGCACAGTCGCCCGTGGAACCGGGTCCAAACGGCGCTTGAATTCCTCGAACGGCCGGATCACGGAGCCGAAGCCGTCGAGGAGCCGCTCTCCGCTTGACTCCGTGCAGGGATCAGCGTGTTCAGGCGCCAGTCAACGCGTTCTGAGGGTTCCCCAGATCGCTGCGGATAGCTACAGGTCCAGGACCTCAGGAGGTGTCGATGGTCGTAGAGAGAAGAAACTTCCACCAGGCGGGTGACTCTCAAAAGGCTTTATTTCCGAGGGCTTCAGCGAGGGAAGGTAAGGTGGGTAGCGAAGGGACACAGCCGCTCAGAGGGATAGCCAGCTCTGAGAGCCCCGAACCAGGGGCGGGGCAGGGTTTATAACACTAGCAGGGAAGGAGGGTCAGGGTACAGAGCATCCAACCGGGTGAGGGCTTGAGGGTGGAGTCAGTCGGGAGCGACATGGCAACGGCCAACCGGGATAGAGGGAAGGAGTGGTTTCGGGGGGAGAACCAATGGGGGTACAAAGAACTCAGAACTTTCTGGAACAGAGGGAAGGAGTACAAAATGATTGACATGAACAGGGGGAAGGGATAACAGATAACTGACAACTGGGGAGGCGGGAAACTACACATCTGTGGCCTCCCATGGTAAAGCAGGGAGGCCATCAGCCACACCCCCTCCCACACAGTGGGAAAGTAGATTCATTGTGCCATGAAACAGAAAACTCAGATGACCAAACTGAACTGAGGTCCTCTGTGTATTAAAAGCTGGTCATCTGTGTGGACATGAATCCTTAATTTTGGTTTTTCATTTTTGTCTTTATTGTATTATTTATCTGCTTCCTCAGTCAAATTTCAAGATGGCCTAATATTGCCATATTTAGGTAGAGGTAGTAATAAACAAGGTTCAGTGTACCCAGTAATTTTTATGTGGCTTGGTCTTAATAAAAAAACGAAAACATTAGTATTAGCCTGATAAAGTGGTTTTTTGATTTTCGTTTTTAATGAAACCTACTTGAGTTGTCAAAATTAAACTCAAAGATATTTCTTCAACAGACAGAAATAAAATTATTTAATTACAAGATGGACATAAATTTTAGACCGATGTTTTTTGGTTGTCATTTTTGCTAGACCTTTAGCTACTTGGTGGATGCAATGACAGTAAGCAGAAATGTCTTTCTAAATTATCTAAATGTCTTTCTAAAAGCTATATGGCTGGGTGACATGCAATGCCACGTATTCTCATTAAAAGGAGCATTTAAGGAAACTATTTATGGTCAAGTAAATTTAAGTAATGAAATGGCACTCAGCTGATTTTAAATTAGGTTTAAACAGATGTTAGTATGGCTCAACACTATCAGCTGAGGCAATTTTCTTTTAAAATTTTGGTATAGGGTTAGGAATTAAAGCATTCCATGTGTATATAATTTTTAGAAAGTATTGATCTAGGAAAGCACTGATTAGCAAAAAGTAAGTGAAGAGTTAAAGCATTGGTTTCAGTTGTGGTGCATAGTTGTCAGCAGAAGGAAAAGCACATTTTTCAGCTCATTTCATCATTGATCTGTAGGCATAGGAGAAGTGGGGTTTTTTGAGCTTTGAAGGCCAGACCACAAAGACAGCATATTTGCATTGTTCATTTCTCATAATCAGTGCTTTTGGATTCATACAAGGATCTTAAATATTCGTCTATTAAATGTATATTTGGAATTGCCTTAGTGTCTTTGCATTTTTATATAAAGTATTCCATTTCCTTTGGGATTTTTCAAAAAATGGAAAAATTATCCCTACCCATTCTTCAACATCCAGCAGGTTTTCAGTTACCCAAAAGGATGAATTGTAATAACAGAGAAACTTTTGTAGGAAATGAGCCTTCTCATGTAGAGCCGGATCTGAACATATCCTTGTGCTCTCCAGATCCCTGGATCAATTGCCACCATTCTCCGCACACCCCAGAGTGTTACAGTGTGCTCATGGGCACTCTGTGCCCCCTTACCCGGACCCTGTGACTCTGATCAAGATAACCCTGGACGCCTCCTTCCTGCCCCAACGGGGTTGGCAGAGAGCCAGGGAAGCCCACCCTTTCCAAAGTCTATATAAACCCCTGACAAATCCTGTTCATCATCTTTTGCCCCGCTCTCCCCTAATAATCACAGAATAAAGAGAGCTGCACCAACATATATCGGTGTAAGAGCCTCTTTTGGAAATCTTTGCCATCTGCTGGTAATCCTCCCCTCAAAGCCTGATAATTCAGGGGGCTGTGAGGGGGGGAATGTCACCATAACACCCAACGGGACCAGGGGCAGAGGAGCAGCCCTGTACCTGGCAGGGCTGAGACGGGTTCCCTGCTTTTCTCAGGAGCCACAGCCCTTCCTTCTGAACACAGGTCCCATGGCAGAGTGGCTAGAAGGAAGGAAAAGTGAATACTAATTCTGCTCCTTCTGCTCTGTCACCTTCCGTAGCGGAGCACGGCCTCAGGAGGAAGGTGCTGTCCCCGGGAGCAAAGCAAAACTTCTCAGCCCTGTTGGGAAACTCTAGTAGAGGAGCATTGGACCCCTGAAAATGTCAAGACTTCAGAGATTGAAATAATGATCTGAATTGTTAGACTTTCAACAGTCTGGAAAAAAAACCCAATGAAGTTTGATTCTTTTTTAACGGCTATTTACTAGGGTTAAAGTTCAAACACTCAGATAAGAGTTAAAACAGCAAAAGACGAATAAACCAGTAGAAGGAGGGTTAAGGAAGGGTTTAAATTTCTTTCTGACTTGGGGAGGTGTGGTGTGGTGGGGTTTCTTTAGCCACAGAAAGGCTCCAGTGATGCTGGGGTTGCTCAGGCTGAGGGCGTGGGAGGTGCAGCTCTGCCCCTGCTCTGCCCCTGCCCTGCCCCACGTGTGGAGCTGTGCCCAGCTGTGCCCAGCTGTGCCCAGCTGTGCCCAGCCCAGCAGGATGTGCCTGTGGAGCAGGGCCGGAGGAGCCGTGGGGATGTGTGGGGGCCTGGAGCACCTGTCCCCTGGCCCGGCTGGGAGAGCCGGGGCTGTCCAGCGTGGGGAGGAGCAGGGAGCGGGGAGGCCTCACTGCGGCCTTGCGGTGCCCAAAGGGGGCAGAGAGCCATGGGGAAGGGGAAGGGTTTTAGACAAGGAGGGGAGATTGGGATCGGGTGTTTGGGAGAGCTGAGGGGGCAGTGAGACATTGGAAGGGACTGCCCAGAGAAGCTGTGGATGCCCTGTCCATGGGCCGCTCCAGGCCGGGCTGGGCCGGGCCCTGAGCGGCCTGACCTGGGGGGCGGCAGCAGCAGCAGGGGATGGCTGAGGTGCTGTCGCTGTCGAGGTAGGATGGGAATGAAGAGACTCTGACCAGAAGGCTGCTGAGAGTAAAACTCCAGTTTCTTCAAAATACACTGCTCTTTTTATACAGAGCTTTGTGAGGACCAACTCCATTGGTCCTGAAGTGAAAACAAGCTACACCATTGCTGCAAAGCGCTTGACGCACAGTGCTAGAACTAAACTATAAACAATGTGAAAAACAAGAGAGATAAAGAATTATTTACATTCTTCTCCAGCTCTTTCCCAGGCTAGAATCTCTCGTTTCTCTCTTTGACTGAATCTGAGACCCACAAGGTGCCTCCATGGCGTTCTGGAACTCCATGGGTGAGCACAGCAGCCATCAGTTACCTGGGCATGGAATGTTGCCACTGGTTGCCAGGGGCACTCCTGGTTCCAAGGTTCTGTTGGCACGGAGTCTGTTGAGCCAGTTGAGGGATTCTCTGCTGCGCAGCAGACGCAGAGCATCCTTCTTCTCCATCCCGCGAGGGAATAGAGAGCGATTTGGTGACTTTTGCAGGCCAAACTCTGGACTGACTGTACCGGTGAGTGCAGGCGATTCGTGGAAAGGCTTCTGATGCTGAGGGGCTGGGCTGGGCTGCAGGATGGGCTGCAGGTGGGCTCAAGTACCAGAGTCATGGACTTTGCCTCTAGCTTTGGACAGGAACTGGAGACTTGGGAATGGGAGTCTTAGAGCATGGGAGTGTTCAAGAAAACTGGCAATCCAAATGGATAATCTCACCTCTACTTTTCTAATAGGTTTGGTGAGCAATTTTCTGTCACGCTGAAAAATCTGCAGTGGGCTGCCTGAAGGAACTGAAGGGATTGGTCACATCCCTGATATTCCTTTTTTGGAGTTTGTCCAGCTTCTTTTGGTCGTTGTTTTTGATCAGCAAACACCATGAGCTCAGTAAGTACTTTGCAACTCAATGCAAATCTGATTCTTGAAACGTTTTCCAGGGTAGGTCTAGAAAGCATTTCAAGAGTTTGTAGCAAATGCAGAGGAACAGAAACCTTTGAAAACTTCATGTAACTTGATATTCTGGAATTGGGAAGGTTTTGTATTTCTGTGGGGGATAGAAGTAGTGCAGAAATGCTTACGGTGTGAGCAGCAACCTGCTGGAATTGGGAACTGGTCACCTCATTTTCAAGCCATTGGGACAGGCTCTTTCTGGGGATGCGGCCTGCCAGAGATAAGGGGTGCTGTCTTTTCCCTGATGTGATGCGCTCGGGTGGGAATGGCCCATAGCAGCATTTGGTGTGTATTCCAGCCTTTGCAGGAGTGTCTTCTGTATCCTTGTGTGCTGTCATTGGTGTTGCAAAACCCAAGGGCCATGTTAATATTCGTGGCAGAGAAAATGCTAAGGCTTTGTTCCCTGTCAGCGTCAGCGAAAGTGCCCTGGAGGAGCAGTTGATTCCAGGCCAGCTCGGAAACGGAGCTGGCTGCTGCCCTCCAGCGCAGGTGGAACTTCGCAGACAGAGCCAACAGACCTTGAGGAAAGTGGCACACCTGCTTTTGAGCCTGGTAAGAACAGAAGTGGCTTCTGGAGGGTTGAAGACCATCTGGCCATGTGCTTTTGCCAATTTCTAGGCCTTTTACTGGGGAGGAAGGGAAACCTTGGGATTGGGGAAGCTCCTTGTATGGCATCCCTAAACAGCAAGCCTTCTGACAACAGTTTTGGTTTGTTACTGAGATCATTATTGCTGCTGCTTGGAATTTCTGCTCCTATTGGCTGCAAGTGGGAGATGAGCTGTGTAGGAAAGGTCCTCCAGTGCTGCTCAAACACCTGAACGTGTGTTCTGATGAGCTGGCAGTCACTGCAGCTGCCACAGTGGAGGGTGGCAAGCTGAGTTTGAGATCTCCCAAGCTGGATGGAGATGAGGAAAACCTGTCACTAGCTCTGCCCCATCCTTCAAGGAACCAATTTACAACATGGTGCCAGAAAATTAGTAATTGCTGTGGTTTGTTTGTTTGGTTTGTTCTGTATGAAATGAATCATCTGTTGATGTGAACCTCCTGTAATCTGTAGTCATCCAATAGAACCTGTGAGGAGCTCAGCTGCCCTTCAGCTTGTTTTGCACAGGGTCTGCCCTGCTCTCTGTGCACTGTTGAGGGCAAAGCTTGAGTGAAATGTTGGACACATTCCTGAACCTGAGGGCACGGTGAATCCAGCCACAGCCTGTTCTACAATGGCCGCCCATTGCATTCCTCTGTAATCTCTGACCATGGTTCTAATGTTCTCTCTTTTCAGCTGCTGGAGAAGTCATAGATCTCACAGGTGTCTCTTCTGAGCCTGAAGTCATCACTATCAGTGATGATGAGTCTCCTGTGGTAAGTAATGACTGGCACACTCTTCTCCATCTTGCATTCAAATTTGTTTTCTTGCCTGTCTTCTGAAATCTTACTGAGTACCCTGGCCTCAAAGGTTGAATGATGGCTCTGATTTGCCACAGTTTAGTCAGCCGTTCCCAGTCAGCCACAAACACGCTCATGAACACATCAGCATGCCTGAGAACTGCTTGCAGAGAGTGGGTGAGCAACCTCAAAGGTTGTTGCTTCTGTGACTTAAAGGAGAGCACAGGAAGTCTTTGACTTCCCAAGGAAGAAGTGTTTGAGCTGCAACATCAGTTTAAGATACCTCTGTCACTGAGGTGCAAAATGCAAGTGCGGCTGACTGGTTTCTTATTCTAAGAAGTCTTTAAAAGGGTCACATTTGGTATTTTTTCCTTTTCCCCTACTATTTGGTAAGAATATGCTTGGATCCAGCCCACAGTGCAATGTATCTGCTCAAATTTGGGATGCCGCTGCTGCTGTGCAAAACAGAAACATGCAGCAAACGTAGCACTGGAGTTATATCCTGACAGAGTTGTTCCTGAACCGTTGCAAAGAAAAGGCTTCAAATTTTACAGCAGAATTTGCATGACCCAGTGCCACATGCACCAAATGCAAGAGCAGGGCTGGGTACAGGGCTTTTTCCTCTTCATCAGCTGTTCATATTATAAGTAGTGTTCAGGCTATCACAGGTGAAATTGCCAGTTTGGGGGAGAAAGAGAGAAAGAAATGGCTCCATCCCAAATCCAATTAGGGAACTGGAATAGGGACACAGGAAGCACAGTGTTCAGGTGGTTCCTAAGTGGTGGTTCCATTTCTACCCCATTTCAGGACAGGCAGCAGAGCCAGCAGCAGCCACATCTTTCCAGAGTGTCAGAGAATTCAGCCGAGCCACTGGCAAGGAACGATGAAGAGGAACCTGGAGAAGATGATGGGTATGTGAGAGTGAAAGTGTCTATCAAAACTCTTATTTCAGATAAGTGGTCAAAAGATGTTTTTGCCAAGCTTTTGGGTTCTGCCTAACTCTGTGCAAATACTTCAGAGCTGGCATCTAGTGGCCTGCCTGGAAGAGAATTAAAATAAGCCCAGCAAAATCCAGCAGAAGCCTTTCTTCTCTGTTTGTGAAGCCTTAGCTTCTTAGGAGCTGTCCATCTAACATCCAATGGAAGAGGATGGCTGGATACGCCATCCACAGAAATTCTTGGAATGATTGTGTTTCTGGGCTGGGATGTTTCTTAATCAGAAGAGGGGATGTTTTAAGTACAGGTGTTTTCTCTGTTAGTAACCCTTGATATCCAGTGAAATAAATGGCTATATGTTCTTCTGGTTCTGCTCTCTCTAGTTATTATCTCTTTGATTTCAGTCTTCCATATGGGTCAGATGAGGACTCAGAGGTGAGGATCCACATCTTCTTGTTCTTTGCAGTTTGTGGGAGGGAAAGGGACAAAAGGGGAGCTGCACAACTCAGTTGTTTTAGATGGGTGCTATGGGCAGCTGGCTGGAAGCACAGCCCTTGCTGGGAAGCTCCAACTTGCCCATCCCTCCAAGTCCCTTCTTGGTGATGTCCATAGAGGGAGAAACCCCTGCCAGGATGACACTGTCAGATCTCTGTGTTCTTTGCAGTTCTAGCATTAAGTAGCAGATTTCACATAGTCCAAGTCCAGTTTGCCTGGATAGAGCAATAGAGTAGCAAACTGGAATTCTTTACACACAAATTTCTGTTGTGGTTTCCATTCTTCAGCAGCTGTTTATCCAACATGTAGTGTTCAGGGCTGGGACTGCAGAAGTTGCCCTTTTTGGGGCTAACAAGCGAAAGAAAAGCTTCTAGCCCAAATCTAATCAGGGAAGTGATACAGGGAAGTAGGATAGAGTTGTTTTGAGCGGTTCCTACTCTGTTTTCATTTTTACCCCACTGCAGTCCAGGGAGCAGAACCAGCAGGACTCACATCTTTCCAGACCAGCAGAGATTTCAGCAGGTCCACTGACAACCCATGATGAAGAGGAACCAGGAGGTAGCGGGTATGTGAGAGTAAAATATCTCTCTAAATTCTAATTTCTGATATATAGTAGGAACAGGTTTTTCTAAGCTTCTGGGTTCTGCTGAAGTCGGTGCAGAAACTTCAGACCTGCAATATAGTGGCCTGTCTGGCAGAGAAGTAAGCAAAAGAATCCAAAAAAATCACATAGCAAGATCCATCTGAAACCTTTCTTTTCTTTTCATAATGTCATGGTTGAATATTTGTTACAGTGTGGCTTGATATATGCTGAAATGCTTGCAGTACATAGCAGCTCGGGGAACAGTTGTGGTGCTGGGGTGGGATTTTGCTTAATCAGAATAGGTATATACATGTTGGTAACTCTCTGTCTGCAGTGAGATTACGGGCTCCATGTTCAAATGGCTGCATGTTCTTTCTGGTTCCCTCTAGTGCATGGCCAGCAGGTCCTGCTGGTCCTCCAATGAGGGAGGGTGACAACTCACAGGTGCAGGACAAAGAGCAGAGCCAGCAGCACCCACCTGGCTCCAGCAACACAGAGAATTCAGCTGAGCTATGGGCAAGTAACCATGAAGAGGAACCAAGAGATAACGATGAGTATGTGACTGATGAAGTGTCTCTCCAAAGTGTATTTTCTGATATTCAGTAGACACAGGTCTTTTTGCCAAACTGCTTGATTCTGTGTGATGGAATCTGATTTGAACCATAGTGGCCTGTCTGGCAGGGAACTAATGGAAAAAAAAAAAACCCCAACAACAAAGCAAAATCCCAGAGAAACCTTTCTTCTCCATTCAGGAAGTCATTATTGAATGTTTCTTAAACGATGGATTGCAATACACTGTAACGCTTGCCGTACATAAAAGCTCTTGCACTGGTGTGTTTCTGGGCTGGGATGTTGCTAAATCAGAATGAGGGGTTATTTCTGTTTTTGCAATTTGATGTCTTGGTAGATCTCTTTGCACTGTGAAATTGACAGCTGTATATTCTTCTAGTTCTCTTAACTCTGATGAATGGCCAGATCGTTTTGAGAGTCCTCCGACATGGCGGGATGACATTACAGATGTAAGCATGTTGTTCTTATCACATGTTCTTGTCCTTTCTGCTTTGTGGGAGGGGAGGAGACAGAGTGGGAGCTCTGTCTCTGTCTCAGCTGCCACTCTGTGTCCTCAGTTGTCCTAGATGGGAATGCCACATGCAGCTGGCTGGAAGCACAGCCCTTGTTGGGAAGCTCCAACTTGCCCATCCCTCCAAGTCCTTTCTTGGTGGTGTCCATAGAGGGAGAAGCCCTTGCCAGGATGGCACTGGCAGATCTGTGTGTTCCTTATAGTTCTAGCATTGACTGACAGAGTGCAGATACCCGAAGTCCAGTTTGCCTGGTGCCAATAGATCAGCAAACATTTTTGCCCCTAATTCCTGTGGTTGTAGTTTCCATTTCTCAGCAGCTGTTCATCTAGCATGAATTGTATAGGGCTAACAAGGGAAAGAAAAGGTTCTAGCCCAAATCCAGTCAGGGAACTGAAACAGGGAGGCAGGACGGAGTGGCTTCAAACAGTTCCTACTCTGTCTCCATTTTTACCCCTCTGCAGGACTGGGAAGAGAGCCAGCCAATTTATTCCTGGTCAGAAGAGAATTTGTTCGAAATACTGTCAAGCAACCTTCAACAGGAACCAAGAGATATTGAATTGTACGTGACAGATAAAGTGTCTCTCCAAAGTGTAATTTCTGATGTATGGTAGACAGAGGTTTTTGCCAAGCTTTTGGATTCTACTTAATTCTGTTTGGAGAATTCTGACTTGAAACACATAGGCCTGTCTGGATAAGAAGTATCCAAAAAAAACACCCCCCCCCCCCCCAAAAAAAAACAACAACAAACAAAAACAACAATAAAAAACCCCCAAAACAACCACAAACTAAAACCAAGTAAAATCCAGGAGAAATATTTCCTCTCTGTCAGGATGACATTATTCAATGTTTCTTACATTATGGATTGTGATATACTGAAATGCTTGAAGTACATAAAAGCTCTTGCACTTGATTGTGTTACTGGGCTGGGATGTTACTAAATCAGAACAAGGGGTTATTTTAAATTTCTTCAATTATATGTTTTGTTGGCAAACCTCTGTGCTCTGTGAAATTGACAGCTACATGTTCTTCTGGTTCTGTTCCCTCTAGTGAACCACCAAGTGGTATTACTAGTCCTCCAAACTGGGAGGATGATAATGCAGAGGTAAGGATCTAAATGTTGTTGTAATTTCTGATTTGTGGAAGGGAAAGGAGCAAGAAGGGAGCTGCACAACTCAGTTGTTTTAGGTGGGATGCCACATGCAGCTGGCTGGAAGCACAGCCCTTGTGGGGAAGCTCCAACTTGCCCATCCCTCCAAGTCCTTTCTTGGTGGTGTCCATAGAGGGAGAAGCTCTTGCCAGGATGGCACTGGCAGCTCTGTGTGTTCCTTATAGTTTTATATAGCATTGAGTGACAGACTGCACTTAGTCCAAGTCCAGTTTATCTGGTGCCAATAGAACAGAAAAATGGAATTCTTTACTCTTCAGTAGTTGTTCATCTAACGGGGAGTGTTAAGGTTATCATAGCAGAACTTGCCAGTTTTGGGAGAATGAGGGAAATAAACAGCTCCAGATCAATTCCAAATAGGGAACAGGAACAGGGGAGGAGGGTGTTCAGGGGGTTCCTAAGCTGCCTCTGTTTGTCCCCTGTTGCAGCAATGAGAGCAGAATCAGCAGCACCCACTTCTTTGCTTTTCAGGGCAGCGGCTCTTTGTGCTACTGCTTTGATGCTCTTAGGCAAACTTAGAGGGTGACAGCCTAGCCTTGCTCCCCTCCTCTGCTGTAACTGCTTTCTGAGCTGGGGTTTGTGTGCAGCACCAGGGGGGCTCACCAAATCTAATTGTATCTTCTTTTCTCTCCCTTCCCATGTGCATCGATGGAAGCTTCTTGAAGGTGAGATGATGTTTTACGGTTGGTAATGGACTTTTATCTAAAATGTGATAGTTAGTTTTGTTGTACTTTCCCAAGAAAGTCGAGCAGCAGGGATTGAAACTGCTTTTAGCAAAAGGCAAGGGACAGGGCTAAAGCCTCTGGCCAGTGTCTTAGAGAACGGATGCAATGTGTGTGTGGTGGCCTCTGTCAGTCACAGTGGGAAATCCCTGCAATAAAAGTTGTAGCTGAGTACTTATGCAGAAGGAACTTTAATTTGGTAACACTTTCTGCAGTTTTGATTGATTGGTGATTGATTAGTGTTACATGGGCACTGGAGTTGCAGAGGTCCTTGCTGCCTGCGGTTTCTGAGAGTTAAAAAGCATTTCTTGACCCTTCTGCTGTTACAGAGCAGGCCATTAAGAATGGTTCTCCCTGTGATTTGGTCAATATGTTGTCCACAAAAACTGGATTTGTTACTGGAGTGTGACAGGTAAATAATCATACACTTGAGAGAGACATTGGTTGTTTATTTCAGTGTTTCACCAGTCTGGGTGCTCAGTGGTATTTCACAAATCAGACACACCCACTATCAAAAGAACTTCTATTATTTATAGATTTTAACAAAGAAAGAAATTAGCATTACAAGTGACATGGTTATCTTCCTAGCTCGTGTTCTGTCTTCATTTGGTTAAGGATTGTCTTACTTCTCAGTTTAATTAGTCCACTCAGTCTATTGCTCGGTCTCCCTCTTCTTTTGGGCTTGGGAAATTTCTTGAGTTGCTGCTCCATGAGTTGGGGGCTGCAATCTCCCCCTGCAGGAATTTTCTACCGGTCAGAGCTGCTTTCAGCAGAGTTGGGTTTCTCAGTTTCTTCCTTATCTTGGGAGTTGTGCCAGATGTCCTTTTGGCCCCTCAATTCTGCATTTTTTGTGTCCACTCTCAGTGGGCATCCTTCTCCCCAAGCTTTGTTGACCCTTCCCCAAATCTGAGCTCCTTCAAGCATTTCAAGCCCTGAACCTCTACAAGCCAATTTTACCAAGAAGGAATTTGTTTAAGTTCCCCAGTTAGAGCTAGTTTGTTAGTTGCTGTCTATTTAATGGAACAAATCTCCCTTCCAGGTGATTTGGCTTGAAGGCATAGAATGCTCAAATATAGCTATACAAAGAGCATACTTCCTTAAGAAATCTTTCACATAGTCTACATTTTGCATAATATATAACTCCATTTTCAAATTGTCTTAATTCAGGAGGATGATGATGGCAATTTCTAAGGGGATAGTGCTCCGAGTAATTTTATAGTTTCCAGGGACTTTCCTTGAGAATCTCTTAGGTCACCTTTTTTAGCTGTGTGTAGGCTGAACAGAGCAAATATTTTATGTTGTTTTGTAGCAGAGTAGTCACAATGTCTGGAAGGGTCCAGTCTTAGTATTTGGGAAAGTAGTTTGTTTGAGATTGTTTTAAACCCAGCTGAATAGTGTCCATTTAAAATAGGAACCATTGCTGACTATTTATATAACTTGTTTCAAAGGTAGCTCCTGGGAGAGAGAGAATAATAGATCTAACTTCTGAAAATTAAATTACAGTGCATGGACAGGAAAGGAGAAATGTTACATCAAACAGCCAGGAACAGGTGGATGGCTCTGGTAATGGAACAGGAGCTAATGATGCCCCTGTGGCTGACTCAGCCCCTGCAGAAGAGGGAGCAGAGGAGGAGGACACTCAAAATCCAGAGTATGTATGCCTCATGCCCCACCACACACAGAATTCTGTGCCTTTCTTTCTTTTCTGTGTAGGACATAGTAATAGTGCTATGCCTGATTTATCTTTGACGCCTTCCCTACTCTACTCATTTCCCTCCTTCTCCCATGTTGCAGGATGATCACATGATACCATTTGAATTTTGGGAGAAAAAAGCAGCCCAAAGCAGATGTGCATCTTTGCACAGAGCCTTAGAGACGAGTGTGGGAGTATGGCAAGGAATGGGGATTGGTCACAGGCCATAGCTCAGTATTGCATTTGCTTTTTCTGACAAGCTGTAGTAGTGATGTTAGATATGGAAATGCTTCCATTGTAATTACTGGGGCTTGGCATCATGGGGCCAGCAGGCAGCAGCTGGGCAAATTCCAACAAAAATTCCCTGCTGGAATGGTGCCAGCTGGTTGCCTTTCTCCTGGAGCTGGAGCCCTTCTTCCCAAGGTAGACTTGCACACAGGCAGTTGTGGAGGTCATGCTTTTATGGCCAGTGCTGGATGTCACAGGCCCTGATTTGCTTGCTTCTGTGATGGAAATCTTGCAGTTCAAGTTGGGTGCCTGCACAGTAAAATTCCCATTCTGCAGAGGAACAGGAAAGTCCTGCTGTAGGGACACTCCATCAGGATAAGAAAGATACAGTTCATTAGACTGATTCAATTTAACCAAGTGTCCTTGACACTAGGGAAGACAAAGAACATTGGAATTATGGTATAAGGTTTTCAAAGTGGTGTTTTTGGGGTTGGGGGAAAGACACAGGTTTTAATAAAGCTGGTGTGCTTTGAGCCTTTTGGAAAGGCAATGTAGGAGACAACTTGAGTGTGAAACTTTTAGGTGTCAGGCCTTAAATATGCCACCTAAAGGGCTTCTACGATTCTAAACCTTAATTGGGCATTTTGCCAATGAATTTGTAGATGCTTCAGTTTTGGTTGCTAAGTCTGTAGGTGAACAAATCCCAGCCCCTGGGTAATATAAAACAGGAATACTTTGTTCCTCCAGTCTCAAGCTTTTCGGTTACTGAATGTAACTGCTCTGTTTAGTTAAGGCTGAAATAGCTCAGTGCTGCAGCATTTAAAATTGACCAAAGGCTCCTTCCCAGGGCTGGACCTTGCCAGAGCTGTATTACTCTGTAGTTTAAAACTGGGTCCTGGAATGAATATTCTGGGGTGAATAATTCCCAGAGGACAGCTGATGCTGTAGTTACAAAGCTCTTACTGATGACCTGCTGGAAGTCAAGGTTGCCATACACAAACTGGCCAGTGCTAGAGGCTGCTGCTACTTCAAAGCCCAGAGCAGGGTGACTGACTGCACCTTTCTCCTAGTGAAAACTAGGACACCCTTTCCCTCAGGGCAGGGAGACCCCAAATCCTCATTAAATGCAGCAAACAGAGACTTAAAGACAGCAGGGTTCTTCAAAGGAAATGTGTCATGGCTAGTCAGTGCAGTTGTATGAATATGTGAGATTTTATGTATCAATAACCACTGAAGTGTGGTTATATTAACAGCTGCATGTTCTTTCTAGTCCTCTTTCCTCCAGTGCACAGCAAGGAGTTGTTATTAGGTGTCCAATTTGCATGGAATTTTACTCAGAGGTAAGGATCCACCTGTTGTTGTCCTGTCTGCTTTGTGGGAGGAGAAAGCCAGAAGGGGGGAGCTGCACAAGTCAGTTGGATGATGTGGGATGCTGTGGGCAGCTGGCTGGAAGCACAGCCCTTGCTGTGAAGCTCCACAAGTCACTTCTTGGTGAATGCAGAGGCAGAAGCCCTTGCCAAGATGGCACTGGCAGATCTGTGGGTCCCTCGTAATTCTAATTCTAGATGCTCAAAATAGAGCCTGGTGCCAGTTGAGCAGCAAAATCAAATTCTCTCCTCCCAATAAATGTTGTGGTTTTCTTTCTTCCAGTTTATTCAATGTGGACAACAGCTTGTGGCAACCCTGTGTGGCCATGTCTTCTGCAGCGAGTGCCTCCCTGTTGCCCTGGAGATTCTCGGCAGGTGCCCAACCTGCAGAATGGACCTCACTCCAGACCTATACCATCCCATTTATATATGAGGAGTTCTCTTCTCAGGACAGACTGAGATGGATCTTGGCCAATAGGCAGCGCAGAGACTTGTTTCTTTATGTATATAGTTCTTCCTGTATATAGTTTCACTTTTGATAAATTCAATTATAAAAAAAGTTTTCATTGATTTAAATATAGTCTCTCTGCTCTTCTGTCTGCACTGTGCTGATAGACAGAGATGTTGTTTAAAAGGTGGAAATAAGGCTCTTGATTGGAGCAGTCAGAAGCTCATTCTTTTCATCTCCCTGTAGTCATTGATTTGGGGGCAATGTGCTAAAGCCATAGGCTTTGCAGCTCTTGTGGCCAGTGCGTGTTGTACGGAGAAAAAGAAACACAGCCTGCTTGGGGTGAGAGGGATTCAATTTCTCAGGCCAGACTCTGGTGGATGCTTTGGTGAAAATGTCATGACTTTATTGCTCAGAAGATGGAAAGAGTAGCAGGTTGTGCACACAGCCAAAGAAAGCAATGTTCTTTGACAATATCTGGTACATTATCAAACTGCTGCATTTAGTGCTGTAAGGTTTCATTAGAATCTTGAGGCTTTTGAAGAAAGGTGTTTTTGAATGTCTGAAGTTGGTTACCATCTTTGAGCTGTTGGCAGTACAAGCGTGTTGTAGCTTCCTGCTGCATCTCCCCCTCCAATCCAGGGATCAGATTCCCTGTGGAGCCCGGCCAGCTGGGCAGTTGGGGTTAGGCGGGCAGAGGGAAGGACTTCTCCCCAAATCCCGGGGGCCCTGGAGAAGCGCCCACGTGAGTCCAAAGACGAGCTAGTCACACAAGCGAAGAAAGAGGCGCTCTCCCTTCAGGATTAGTTCCAAAGTTCTAACGTCACCTCAAAGGAGTCCCGAGGAAGAGAGGGCGTGTCCCCGCCCAGACCAGCCAGATATCGGGGGCGGGGAAAACCTGACCAGCCAATGGGGGAAGGACATCGGAGTGGCTCTCTGGGGGCAAGGCCTCAGAGTGACCACTGAGGAGGGGGTGGGGGAGGAGTCCCAGCCAGGGTCCAGGTACCTGGTGACCCTGGGAGAAGGGTCTGGACAAAGGGGAGTGGTCACCAGGTGATGGACACATCACCTGGGAGGAGACAGGGGGATGGGTTGGGGTTTGATGGACATACAGGTAGTGATGGGAAAGCTGGGATGAACCAAACAGATGCAAAGAGGGGATATACAGTGCAAAGACAACTCTACAGCTTCCTTCAGTCACAGCAGTATAATCCTATGTTACACTGAAGAGAAATGCAACCGTCCAGAGATTTAAAAATTGGACATAAGAGAGGAAAGAAAATTACTTCTGTTATACAAAAGTAATAAAGAGGCACAGGCAGATCTCAGGTAAACAGTGGGAGAGTAAATTCCTTGTGCCATGAAACAGAAAACTCAGATGACCAAGCTGAACTGAGGTCTTCTTTGTGTTAAAAGTTGGTCATCTGTGTGGACATGAATCCTTAATTTTGGTTTTTCATTTTTGTCTTTATTGTATTATTTATCTGCTTCCTCAGTCATATTTCAAGATGTCCTCATATTGCCATATTTAGGTAGAGGTAGTAATAAACAAGGTTCAATGTACCCCCTAATTTTTATGCGCCTTGGTCTTAATAAAAAAATGAAAACATTAGTATTAGCCTGGTAAAGTGATTTTTTGATTTTCATTTTTTACAAAACCTACTTGACTTGTCAAAATTAAACTCAAAGACAATTCTTCAACAGACACAAATAAAATTATTTAATTACAAGATGGCCATAAATTTTAGACCGATGTTTTTTGGTTATCATTTTTTGGTAGACTTTTAGCTACTTGGTGGATGCAATGACAGTAAGCAGAAATGTCTTTCTAAATTATCTAAATGTCTTTCTAAAAGCTTTATGCCTAGGTGACATGTAATGCCACGTATTCTCATTAAAAGGAGCATTTAAGGAAACAATTTATGGTCAAGTAAATTTAAGTAATGAAATGGCACTCAGCTGATTTTATAATAGGTTGAAACAGATGTTAGTATGGTTCAACACTATCAGCTGAGGCAATTTTCTTTTAAAATTTTGGTATTGGTTTAGGAATTAAAGCATTCCATGTGTATATAATTTTTAGAAAGTATTGATCTAGGAAAGCACTGATTAACAAAAAGTAACTGAAGAGTTAAAGCATTGGTTTCAGTTGTGTTGCATAGTTGTCAGCAGAAGGAAAAGCACATTTTCGGCTCATTTCATCATTGATCTGTAGGCATAGGAGAAGTGGGGTTTTTTGAGCTTTGAAGGCCAGACCACAAAGACAGCATATTTGCATTGTTCATTTCTCATAATCAGTGCTTTTGGATTCATACAAGGATCTTATATATTCGTCTATTAAATGACTATTTGGAATTGCCTTGGTGTCTTTGCATTTTTATATAAAGTATTCCATTTCCTTTGGGATTTTTCAAAAAATGGAAAAATGATCCCTACCCATTCTTCAACACCCAGCAGGTTTTCAATTACCCAAAAGGATGAATTGTAATAACAGAGAAACTTTTGTAAGAAATGAGCCTTCTCATGTAGAGCCGGAGCTGAACATATCCTTGTGCTCTCCAGAGCCCTGGATCAATTGCCACCATTCTCCGCACACCCCAGAGTGTTACAGTGTGCTCATGGGCACTCTGTGCCCCCTTACCCGGGACCCTGTGACTCTGATCAAGATAACCCTGGACGCCTCCTTCCTGCCCCAACGGGGTTGGCAGAGAGCCAGGGTAGCCCACCCTTTCCAAAGTCTATATAATCCCCTGACAAATCCTGTTCATCATCTTTTGCCCCGCTCTCCCCTAATAATCACAGAATAAAGAGAGCTGCACCAACATATATCGGTGTAAGAGCCTCTTTTGGAAATCTTTGCCATCTGCTGGTAATCCTCCCCTCAAAGCCTGATAATTCAGGGGGCTGTGAGGGGGGGAACGTCACCATAACACCCAACGGGACCAGGGGCAGAGGAGCAGCCCTGTACCTGGCAGGGCTGAGACGGGTTCCCTGCTTTTCTCAGGAGCCACAGCCCTTCCTTCTGAACACAGGTCCCATGGCAGAGTGGCTAGAAGGAAAAGTGAATACTAATTCTGCTTCTTCTGCTCTGTCACCTTCCGTAGCGGAGCAGGGCCTCAGGAGGAAGGTGCTGTCCCTGGGAGCAAAGCAAAACTCCTCAGCCCTGTTGGGAAACTCTAGTAGAGGAGCATTGGACCCCTGAAAATGTCAAGACTTCAGAGATTGAAATAATGATCTGAATTGTTAGACTTTCAACAGTCTGGAAAAAAAACCCAATGAAGTTTGATTCTTTTTTAATGGCTATTTACTAGGGTTAAAGTTCAAACACTCAGATAAGAGTTAAAACAGCAAAAGACGAATAAACCAGTAGAAGGAGGGTTAAGGAAGGGTTTAAATTTCTTTCTGACTTGGGGAGGTGTGGTGTGGTGGGGTTTCTTTAGCCACAGAAAGGCTCCAGTGATGCTGGGGTTGCTCAGGCTGAGGGCGTGGGAGGTGCAGCTCTGCCCCTGCTCTGCCCCTGCCCTGCCCCACGTGTGGAGCTGTGCCCAGCTGTGCCCAGCTGTGCCCAGCCCAGCAGGATGTGCCTGTGGAGCAGGGCCGGAGGAGCCGTGGGGATGTGTGGGGGCCTGGAGCACCTGTCCCCTGGCCCGGCTGGGAGAGCCGGGGCTGTCCAGCGTGGGGAGGAGCAGGGAGCGGGGAGGCCTCACTGCGGCCTTGCGGTGCCCAAAGGGGGCAGAGAGCCATGGGGAAGGGGAAGGGTTTTAGACGAGAAGGGGAGATTGGGATCGGGTGTTCGGGAGAGCTGAGGGGGCAGTGAGACATTGGAAGGGACTGCCCAGAGAAGCTGTGGATGCCCTGTCCATGGGCCGCTCCAGGCCGGGCTGGGCCGGGCCCTGAGCGGCCTGACCTGGGGGGCGGCAGCAGCAGCAGGGGATGGCTGAGGTGCTGTCGCTGTCGAGGTAGGATGGGAATGAAGAGACTCTGACCAGAAGGCTGCTGAGAGTAAAACTCCAGTTTCTTCAAAATACACTGCTCTTTTATACAGAGCTTTGTGAGGACCAACTCCATTGGTCCTGAAGTGAAAACAAGCTACACCATTGCTGCAAAGCGCTTGACGCACAGTGCTAGAACTAAACTATAAACAATGTGAAAAACAAGAGAGATAAAGAATTATTTACATTCTTCTCCAGCTCTTTCCCAGGCTAGAATCTCTCGTTTCTCTCTTTGACTGAATCTGAGACCCACAAGGTGCCTCCATGGCGTTCTGGAACTCCATGGGTGAGCACAGCAGCCATCAGTTACCTGGGCATGGAATGTTGCCACTGGTTGCCAGGGGCACTCCTGGTTCCAAGGTTCTGTTGGCACGGAGTCTGTTGAGCCAGTTGAGGGATTCTCTGCTGCGCAGCAGACGCAGAGCATCCTTCTTCTCCATCCCGCGAGGGAATAGAGAGCGATTTGGTGACTTTTGCAGGCCAAACTCTGGACTGACCGTACAGGTGAGTGCAGACGATTCGTGGAAAGGCTTCTGATGCTGAGGGGCTGGGCTGGGCTGCAGGATGGGCTGCAGGTGGGCTCAAGTACCAGAGTCATGGACTTTGCCTCTAGCTTTGGACAGGAACTGGAGACTTGGGAATGGGAGTCTTAGGGCATGGGAGTGTTCAAGAAAACTGGCAATCCAAATGGATAATCTCACCTCTACTTTTCTAATAGGTTTGGTGAGCAATTTTCTGTCACGCTGAAAAATCTGCAGTGGGCTGCCTGAAGGAACTGAAGGGATTGGTCACATCCCTGACATTCCTTTTTTGGAGTTTGTCCCGCTTCTTTTGGTGGTTGTTTTTGATCACCAAACACCATGAGCTCAGTAAGTACTTTGCAACTCAATGCAAATCTGATTCTTGAAACGTTTTCCAGGGTAGGTCTAGAAAGCATTTCAAGAGTTTGTAGCAAATGCAGAGGAACAGAAACCTTTGAAAACTTCATGTAACTTGATGTTCTGGAAATGGGAAGGTTTTGAATCTCTGTGGGGGATAGAAGTAGTGCAGAAATGCTTACGGTGTGAGCAGCAACCTGCTGGAATTGGGAACTGGTCACCTCATTTTCAAGCCATTGGGACAGGCTCTTTCTCGGGGAGGTGGCTTATTGGAGATCAGGGGTGCTGTCTTTTCCCTGATGTGATGCGCTCGGGTGGGAATGGCCCATAGCAGCATTTGGTGTGTATTCCAGCCTTTGCAGGAGTGTCTTCTGTATCCTTGTGTGCTGTCATTGGTGTTGCAAAACCCAAGGGCCATGTTAATATTCGTGGCAGAGAAAATGCTAAGGCTTTGTTCCCTGTCAGCGTCAGCGAAAGCGCCCTGGAGGAGCAGTTGATTCCAGACCAGCTCGGAAACGGAGCCGGCTGCTGCCCTCCAGCGCAGGTGGAACTTCGCAGATGGAGCCAATAGACCTGGAGGAAAGTGGCACACCTGCTTTTGAGCCTGGTAAGAACAGAAGTGGCTTCTGGAGGGTTGAAGACCATCTGGCCATGTGCTTTTGCCAATTTCTAGGCCTTTTACTGGGGAGGAAGGGAAACCTTGGGATTGGGGAAGCTCCTGGTATGGCATCCCTAAACAGCAAGCCTTCTGACAACAGTTTTGGTTTGTTACTGAGATCATTATTGCTGCTGCTTGGAATTTCTGCTCCTATTGGCTGCAAGTGGGAAATGAGCTGTGTAGGAAAGGTCCTCCAGTGCTGCTCAAACACCTGAACGTGTGTTCTGATGAGCTGGCAGTCACTGCAGCTGCCACAGTGGAGGGTGGCAGGAGAGCTGAGTTTGAGATCTCCCAAGCTGGATGGAGATGAGGAAAACCTGTCACTAGCTCTGCCCTATCCTTCAAGGAACCAATGTACAGCATGGTGCCAGAAAATTAGTAATTGCTGTGGTTTGTTTGTTTGGTTTGTTCTATATGAAATGAATCATCTGTTGATGTGAACCTCCTGTAATCTGTAGTCATCCAAAAGAACCTGTGAGGAGCTCAGCTGCCCTTCAGCTTGTTTTGCACAGGGTCTGCCCTGCTCTCTGTGCACTGTTGAGGGCAAAGCTTGAGTGAAATGTTGGACACATTCCTGAACCTGAGGGCACGGTGAATCCAGCCACAGCCTGTTCTACAATGGCCGCCCATTGCATTCCTCTGTAATCTCTGACCATGGTTCTAATGTTCTCTCTTTTCAGCTGCTGGAGAAGTCATAGATCTCACAGGTGTCTCTTCTGAGCCTGAAGTCATCACTATCAGTGATGATGAGTCTCCTGTGGTAAGTAATGACTGGCACACTCTTCTCCATCTTGCATTCAAATTTGTTTTCTTGCCTGTCTTCTGAAATCTTACTGAGTACCCTGGCCTCAAAGGTTGAATGATGCCTCTGATTTGCCACAGTTTAGTCAGCCGTTCCCAGTCAGAAACACGCTCATGAACACATCAGCATGCCTGAGAACTGCTTGCAGAGAGTGGGTGAGCAACCTAAAAGGTTGTTGCTTCTGTGACTTAAAGGAGAGCACAGGAAGTCTTTGACTTCCCAAGGAAGAAGTGTTTGAGCTGCAACATCAGTTTAAGATACCTCTGTCACTGAGGTGCAAAATGCAAGTGCGGCTGACTGGTTTCTTATTCCAAGAAGCCTTTAAAAGGGTCACATTTGGTATTTTTTCCTTTTCCCCTACTATTTGGTAAGAATATGCTTGGATCCAGCCCACAGTGCAATGTATCTGCTCAAATTTGGGATGCCGCTGCTGCTGTGCAAAACAGAAACATGCAGCAAACAAAGCACCGGAGTTACATCCTGACAGAGTTGTTCCTGAACCGTTGCAAAGAAAAGGCTTCAAATTTTACAGCAGAATTTGCATGACCCAGTGCCACATGCACCAAATGCAAGAGCAGGGCTGGGTACAGGGCTTTTTCCTCTTCAGCAGCTTTTCATATTATAAGTAGTGTTCAGGCTATCACAGGTGAAATTGCCAGTTTGGGGGAGAAAGAGAGAAAGAAATGGCTCCATCCCAAATCCAATTAGGGAACTGGAATAGGGACGCAGGAAGTACAGTGTTCAGGTGGTTCCTAAGTGGTGGTTCCATTTCTACCCCATTTCAGGACAGGCAGCAGAGCCAGCAGCAGCCACATCTTTCCAGAGTGTCAGAGAATTCAGCCGAGCCACTGGCAAGGAACGATGAAGAGGAACCTGGAGAAGATGATGGGTATGTGAGAGCGAAAGTGTCTATCAAAACTCTAATTTCAGATAAGTGGTCAAAAGATGTTTTTGCCAAGCTTTTGGGTTCTGCCTAACTCTGTGCAAATACTTCAGAGCTGGCATCTAGTGGCCTGCCTGGAAGAGAATTAAAATAAGCCCAGCAAAATCCAGCAGAAGCCTTTCTTCTCTGTTTGTGAAGCCTTAGCTTCTTAGGAGCTGTCCATCTAACATCCAATGGAAGAGGATGGCTGGATACGCCATCCACAGAAATTCTTGGAATGATTGTGTTTCTGGGCTGGGATGTTTCTTAATCAGAAGAGGGGATGTTTTAAGTACAGGTGTTTTCTCTGTTAGTAACCCTTGATGTCCAGTGAAATTTTTATCTCATGTTTAAAAGGCTGCATGTTCTTCTGGTTCTGCTCTCTTTTAGTGCATGGCCAGCAGGTCCTTCTGGTCCTCCAGTGAGGGAGGGTGACAACTCACAGGTGCAGGACAAGGGGCAGAGCCAGCAGCACTCACTTGGCCCCAGCGACACCGAGAATTCAGCTGAGCTTCGGGCAAGTGACAGTGAAGAGGAACCAAGTGATAATGATGAGTATGTGACTGATGAAGTGTCTCTCCAAAGTGTAATTTCTGATACATGGTAGAATCAGGTTTTTGCCAAACTTTTGAGTTCTACTTGATTCAGCTTGGAGAATTCTTACTTGACACGTAGTGACTTGTCTGGGAGAGAAGTAACGGAAAGAAAGCTCTAAAAACCCGCAAAATCCCGGAGGAACCTTTCTTCTCCAATCAGGAAGTCATTACTGACTTTTTCTTACATTATGCATTGAGATACACTGCAGTGCTTGCAGTACATAAAAGCTCTTGCACTGACTGTGTTTCTGGGTTGGGATGTTGCCAAATCAGAATGAGGGGTTATTTCTATTTTTGCAATTTTATGTCGTGGAAGCCCTCTGTGCTCTGTGAATTTGACAGCTGCATGTTCTTCTGGTTCTTCTCCCTCTAGTGCATGGATGACATGTCTCCTGAGTCCTTCAACTTGTGAGGATGACAATGCAGAGGTGAGGATCCACAGCCCTTGCTGAGAAGCTCCAACCTGCCCATCCCTCCAAGCCCTTTCTTGATGGTGTCCATAGAGGGAGAAGCCCTTGCCAGGATGGCACTGGCAGATCTGTGTGTTCCTTGTAGTTCTAGCATTGAGTGACAGACCGCACATAGTCCAAGTCCAGTTTGCCTGGTGCCAATAGAGCAGCAAACTGGAATTCTGTGCTGCAAATTCCTGTTGTGGTTTCTGTTGTTTAGCATCTGTCCATCTAAGACAAAATCTTTAGACTAATGATTGAGCCTTTTGGGGGAGAAAGAGGGAAAGAAAAGACTCCATGCCAAATCCACTTAGGGAACTGATAGAGGAAAGCAGGTTGTTCAGGAAGATTCAGGCACCTCCTAATCTGTCTCCATTTTTACCCCATTCTGGGAGCAGAGCCAGCAAGACCCACTTGATTCCAGAGCAGCAGAGAATGCAGCTGAAGTACTGGCAGATGAGAATGAAGAGGAACCACAAGATATTGAAAGGTATGTGACAGATAAAGTGTCTCTTCAAAGTCTAATTTCTGATATATGGTAGAAAACCGGTTTCTGCCAAGCTTTATGGCTTTTCTTTTCTGTTCATGAAATCCTAATGGAATGTATCTTTCTGTAACACTGTAGTAACACTGAAGAGGCTGAAGTATATGAAAGTAATTGAAATGGGGCTGGGATGTTGCTAAATCAGAAGAAGGGATGTTTTACTTTCTGGCATTTCTGTATCAATAACCTGTCATGCATGGTGCAATTAATGGCTGCATGTTCTTTCTGCATCTGTTCTCTATAACACAAGGCCCTCTGCTAGTCTCCTCTGCGTGATTTGCATGAGTTGTTACTCACAGGTAAGGATCCACCTGTTGTTGTCCTTTCAGATTAGTGGGAGGGAAAGGGACAATAGGGGAGCTCTAGAACAACTCAGTTGTTCTAGATGGGTGCTATGGGCAGCTGTCTGGAAGAACAGCCCTTGCTGGGAAACTCCAGCTTGCCCATCCCTCCAAGTCCCTCCTTGGTGGTGTCCATAGAGGAAGAAGCCCTTGCCAGAATGGCGCTGGCAGATCTGTGTGTACCTTGTAGTTCTAGCATTGACTGATAGAATTAATTACTCCCAAATTTCTGTGGTGGCGTCCTTTCTTTAGCAGCTGTTCATCTAACAGGAAGTGTCAAGGTTATCATAGCAGAACTTGCCAGTTTTGGGAGAATGAGGGAAATAAACAGCGCCAGGTCAAATCCAAATAGGGAACAGGAACAAGGGAGGAGGGTGTTCAGGGGGTTCCTAAGCTGCCTCTGTTTGTCCCCTGTTGCAGCAATGAGAGCAGAATCAGCAGCACCCACTTCTTTGCTTTTCAGGGCAGCGGCTCTTTGTGCTACTGCTTTGATGCTCTTAGGCAAACTTAGAGGGTGACAGCCTAGCCTTGCTCCTCTCCTCTGCTGTAACTGCTTTCTGAGCTGGGGTTTGTGTGCAGCACCAGGGGGGCTCACCAAATCTAATTGTATCTTCTTTTCTCTCCCTTCCCATGTGCATCGATGGAAGCTTGTTGAAGGTGAGATGATGTTTTACGGTTGGTAATGGACTTTTATCTAAAATGTGATAGTTAGTTTTGTTGTACTTTCCCAAGAAAGTCGAGCAGCAGGGATTGAAACTGCTTTTAGCAAAAGGCAAGGGACAGGGCTAAAGCCTCTGGCCAGTGTCTTAGAGAACGGATGCAATGTGTGTGTGGTGGCCTCTGTCAGTCACAGTGGGAAATCCCTGCAATAAAAGTTGTAGCTGAGTACTTATGCAGAAGGAACTTTAATTTGGTAACACTTTCTGCAGTTTTGATTGATTGGTGATTGATTAGTGTTACATGGGCACTGGAGTTGCAGAGGTCATCGCTGCCTGCGGTTTCTGAGAGTTAAAAAGCATTTCTTGACCCTTCTGCTGTTACAGAGCAGGCCATTAAGAATGGTTCTCCCTGTGATTTGGTCAATATGTTGTCCACAAAAATTGGATTTGTTACTGGGGTGTGACAGGTAAATAATCATGCACTTGAGAGAGACATTGGTTGTTTATTTCAGTGTGTCACCAGTCTGGGTGCTCAGTGGTATTTCACAAATCAGACACACCCACTATCAAAATAACTTCTATTATTTATAGATTTTAACAAACAAAGAAATTAGCATTACAAGTGACATGGTTATCTCCTTAGCTCGTGTTCTGTCTTCATTTGGTTAAGGATTGTCTTACTTCTCACCTTAATTAGTCCACTCAGTCTATTGCTCGGTCTCCCTCTTCTTTTGGGCTGGGGAAATTTCTTGAGTTGCTGCTCCATGAGTTGGGGGCTGCAATCTCCCCCTGCAGGAATTTTCTACCGGTCAGAGCTGCTTTCAGAAGAGTTGGGTTTCTCAGTTTCTTCCTTATCTTGGGAGTTGTGCCAGATGTCCTTTTGGCCCCTCAATTCTGCATTTTTTGTGTCCACTCTCAGTGGGCATCCTTCTCCCCAAGCTTTGTTGACCCTTCCCCAAATCTGAGCTCCTTCAAGCATTTCAAGCCCTGAACCTTTACAAGCCAATTCTACCAACAAGGAATTTGCTTTTCTGCCACCTGGGCATCAGTTTGAGCTTGTTTGTTAGTTGCTGTTTATTGAATGGAATAAATCTCCCTTCCAGGTGATTTGGTTTGAAAGTGTAGAATGCTCAAATATAGCAATACAAAGATCATCCTTCCTTCAGAAATCTTACACATATTCTACATTTTGTATCTGATATAACTTATGAAACTTACAGTTTATCAACAGCAAAGGAGAAGGGCCACCCTGAACAGCCAGGAACAGGTGGATGCCTCTGGTAATGGAACGGGAGCTAATGATGCACCTGTGGCTGACTCAGCCCCTGCAGAACAGGGAGCAGCAGAGGAGGGAGCTGCACTTTCAGAGTATGTATGGCTCATGCCCTAACAAACATGAAATTTTGTGCCCTTTGTTTTGTTTTCTGTATAGGACTAAGTTATACAGGTATGCCTGGTTTATCTTTGAGGCCTTCCCATACTCTATGTATTTCCCTCCTTCTCCCATGTTGCATGATGATCACATGATACCATTTGCATTTTGGGAGAAAAAGGCAGCCCAAGGCAGATGTACAATTTTGCACAGAACCTTAGAGATGAGTGTGAGGGTATGGCAAAGAATGGGGATTACTTGCATCAAATCCCAGAGCAAGGTGACTGACTGCACCTTTCTCCTAGTGAAAACCAGGACACACTTTCCCTCGGGGCAGGGAGACCCCCCATATGCTCATTAAATGCAGCAAACAGAGACTTAAAGACAGCAGGGTTCTTCAAAGGAAATGTGTCATGGCTAGTCAGTGCAGTTGTATGAATATGTGAGATTTTATGGATCAATAAATGTTGAAGTGTGGTTATATTAACAGCTGCATGTTCTTTCTAGTTCTGTTTCCTCCAGTGCACAGCAAGGAGGTGTCATTAGGTGTCCAATTTGCATGGATTCTTACTCAGAGGTAAGGATCCACCTATTGTGATCCTTTCTGCTATGTGGGAGGAGAAAGCCAGAAGGGGAGCTGCACAAGACTGGGATGCTGTGGGATGTGGGATGCTGTGGGCAGCTGGCTGGAAGCACAGCCCTTGCTGTGGAGCTCCATGAGTCACTTCTTGGTGAAGTGACACTGGCAGATCTGAGAGTCTCTTGTTCGTTTGATTCCAGATGCTCAAAGTGTCATTTGCCTGCTGCCAGTTGAGCAGCAAACTCAAATTCTTTCCTCCCAATACATGTTGTGATTTTCATTCTTCCAGATTATGCAAAGTGGACGACTGATTGTGACAACCCTGTGTGGCCATGTCTTCTGCAGCGAGTGCCTCCCTGTTGCCCTGGAGATTCTCGGCAGGTGCCCAACCTGCAGAATGGACCTCACTCCAGACCTATACCATCCCATTTATATATGAGTTCTTCTCTTCTCAGGACAGAGTGAGATGGATCCTGGCCAATAGGCAGCGCAGAGACTTGTTTCTTTATGTATATAGTTCTTCCTGTATATAGTTTCACTTTTGATAAATTCAATTATAAAAAAAGTTTTCATTGATTTAAATATAGTCTCTCTGCTCTTCTGTCTGCACTGTGCTGATAGACAGAGATGTTGTTTAAAAGGTGGAAATAAGGCTCTTGATTGGAGCAGTCAGAAGCTCATTCTTTTCATCTCCCTGTAGTCATTGATTTGGGGGCAATGTGCTAAAGCCATAGGCTTTGCAGCTCTTGTGGCCAGTGCGTGTTGTACGGAGAAAAAGAAACACAGCCTGCTTGGGGTGAGAGGGATTAAATTTCTCAGGCCAGACTCTGGTGGATGCTTTGGTGAAAATGTCATGACTTTATTGCTCAGAAGATGGAAAGAGTAGCAGGTTGTGCACACAGCCAAAGAAAGCAATGTTCTTTGATAAAAACTGGTACATTAACAAACTGCTGCATTTAGTGCTGTAAGGTTTCATTAGAATCTTGAGGCTTTTGAAGAAAGGTGTTTTTGAATGTCTGAAGTTGGTTACCATCTTTGAGCTGTTGGCAGTACAAGTGTGTTGTAGCTTCCTGCTGCATCTCCCCCTCAAATCCACGGGTCAGATTCCCTGTGGAGCCCGGCCAGCTGGGCAGTTGGGGTTAGGCGGGCAGAGGGAAGGACTTCTCCCCAAATCCCGGGGGCCCTGGAGAAGCGCCCACGTGAGTGCAAAGACGAGCTAGTCACACAAGCGAAGAAAGAGGCGCTCTCCCTTCAGGATTAGTTCCAAAGTTCTAACGTCACCTCAAAGGAGTCCCGAGGAAGAGAGGGCGTGTCCCCGCCCAGACCAGCCAGATATCGGGGGCGGGGAAAACCTGACCAGCCAATGGGGGAAGGACATCGGAGTGGCTCTCTGGGGGCAAGGCCTCAGAGTGACCACTGAGGAGGGGGTGGGGGAGGAGTCCCAGCCAGGGTCCAGGTACCTGGTGACCCTGGGAGAAGGGTCTGGACAAAGGGGAGTGGTCACCAGGTGATGGACACATCACCTGGGAGGAGACAGGGGGATGGGTTGGGGTTTGATGGACATACAGGTAGTGATGGGAAAGCTGGGATGAACCAAACAGATGCAAAGAGGGGATATACAGTGCAAAGACAACTCTACAGCTTCCTTCAGTCACAGCAGTATAATCCTATGTTACACTGAAGAGAAATGCAACCGTCCAGAGATTTAAAAATTGGACATAAGAGAGGAAAGAAAATTACTTCTGTTATACAAAAGTAATAAAGAGGCACAGGCAGATCTCAGGTAAACAGTGGGAGAGTAAATTCCTTGTGCCATGAAACAGAAAACTCAGATGACCAAGCTGAACTGAGGTCTTCTTTGTGTTAAAAGTTGGTCATCTGTGTGGACATGAATCCTTAATTTTGGTTTTTCATTTTTGTCTTTATTGTATTATTTATCTGCTTCCTCAGTCATATTTCAAGATGTCCTCATATTGCCATATTTGGGTAGAGGTAGTAATAAACAAGGTTCAATGTACCCCCTAATTTTTATGCGCCTTGGTCTTAATAAAAAAATGAAAACATTAGTATTAGCCTGATAAAGTGATTTTTTGATTTTCATTTTTAACGAAACCTACTTGACTTGTCAAAATTAAACTCAAAGACAATTCTTCAACAGACACAAATAAAATTATTTAATTACAAGATGGCCATAAATTTTAGACCGATGTTTTTTGGTTATCATTTTTTGGTAGACTTTTAGCTACTTGGTGGATGCAATGACAGTAAGCAGAAATGTCTTTCTAAATTATCTAAATGTCTTTCTAAAAGCTTTATGCCTAGGTGACATGTAATGCCACGTATTCTCATTAAAAGGAGCTTTTAAGGAAACAATTTATGGTCAAGTAAATTTAAGTAATGAAATGGCACTCAGCTGATTTTATAATAGGTTGAAACAGATGTTAGTATGGTTCAACACTATCAGCTGAGGCAATTTTCTTTTAAAATTTTGGTATTGGTTTAGGAATTAAAGCATTCCATGTGTATATAATTTTTAGAAAGTATTGATCTAGGAAAGCACTGATTAACAAAAAGTAACTGAAGAGTTAAAGCATTGGTTTCAGTTGTGTTGCATAGTTGTCAGCAGAAGGAAAAGCACATTTTCGGCTCATTTCATCATTGATCTGTAGGCATAGGAGAAGTGGGGTTTTTTGAGCTTTGAAGGCCAGACCACAAAGACAGCATATTTGCATTGTTCATTTCTCATAATCAGTGCTTTTGGATTCATACAAGGATCTTATATATTTGTCTATTAAATGTATATTTGGAATTGCCTTGGTGTCTTTGCATTTTTATATAAAGTATTCCATTTCCTTTGGGATTTTTCAAAAAATGGAAAAATGATCCCTACCCATTCTTCAACACCCAGCAGGTTTTCAATTACCCAAAAGGATGAATTGTAATAACAGAGAAACTTTTGTAAGAAATGAGCCTTCTCATGTAGAGGCAGAGCTGAACATATCCTTGTGCTCTCCAGATCCCTGGATCAATTGCCACCATTCTCCGCACACCCCAGAGTGTTACAGTGTGCTCATGGGCACTCTGTGCCCCCTTACCCGGGACCCTGTGACTCTGATCAAGATAACCCTGGACGCCTCCTTCCTGCCCCAACGGGGTTGGCAGAGAGCCAGGGTAGCCCACCCTTTCCAAAGTCTATATAATCCTGTTCATCATCTGAACAAATCCTGTTCATCATCTTTTGCCCCGCTCTCCCCTAATAATCACAGAATAAAGAGAGCTGCACCAACATATATCGGTGTAAGAGCCTCTTTTGGAAATCTTTGCCATCTGCTGGTAATCCTCCCCTCAAAGCCTGATAATTCAGGGGGCTGTGAGGGGGGGAACGTCACCATAACACCCAACGGGACCAGGGGCAGAGGAGCAGCCCTGTACCTGGCAGGGCTGAGACGGGTTCCCTGCTTTTCTCAGGAGCCACAGCCCTTCCTTCTGAACACAGGTCCCATGGCAGAGTGGCTAGAAGGAAAAGTGAATACTAATTCTGCTCCTTCTGCTCTGTCACCTTCCGTAGCGGAGCACGGCCTCAGGAGGAAGGTGCTGTCCCTGGGAGCAAAGCAAAACTCCTCAGCCCTGTTGGGAAACTCTAGTAGAGGAGCATTGGACCCCTGAAAATGTCAAGACTTCAGAGATTGAAATAATAATCTGAATTGTTAGACTTTCAACAGTCTGGAAAAAAAACCCAATGAAGTTTGATTCTTTTTTAATGGCTATTTACTAGGGTTAAAGTTCAAACACTCAGATAAGAGTTAAAACAGCAAAAGACGAATAAACCAGAAGGTGGAGGGTTAAGGAAGGGTTTAAATTTCTTTCTGACTTGGGGAGGTGTGGTGTGGTGGGGTTTCTTTAGCCACAGAAAGGCTCCAGTGATGCTGGGGTTGCTCAGGCTGAGGGCGTGGGAGGTGCAGCTCTGCCCCTGCTCTGCCCCTGCCCTGCCCCACGTGTGGAGCTGTGCCCAGCTGTGCCCAGCTGTGCCCAGCCCAGCAGGATGTGCCTGTGGAGCAGGGCCGGAGGAGCCGTGGGGATGTGTGGGGGCCTGGAGCACCTGTCCCCTGGCCCGGCTGGGAGAGCCGGGGCTGTCCAGCGTGGGGAGGAGCAGGGAGCGGGGAGGCCTCACTGCGGCCTTGCGGTGCCCAAAGGGGGCAGAGAGCCATGGGGAAGGGGAAGGGTTTTAGACGAGAAGGGGAGATTGGGATCGGGTGTTTGGGAGAGCTGAGGGGGCAGTGAGACATTGGAAGGGACTGCCCAGAGAAGCTGTGGATGCCCTGTCCATGGGCCGCTCCAGGCCGGGCTGGGCCGGGCCCTGAGCGGCCTGACCTGGGGGGCGGCAGCAGCAGCAGGGGATGGCTGAGGTGCTGTCGCTGTCGAGGTAGGATGGGAATGAAGAGACTCTGACCAGAAGGCTGCTGAGAGTAAAACTCCAGTTTCTTCAAAATACACTGCTCTTTTATACAGAGCTTTGTGAGCACCAACTCCATTGGTCCTGAAGTGAAAACAAGCTACACCATTGCTGCAAAGCGCTTGACGCACAGTGCTAGAACTTAACTATAAACAATGTGAAAAACAAGAGAGATAAAGAATTATTTACATTCTTCTCCAGCTCTTTCCCAGGCTAGAATCTCTCGTTTCTCTCTTTGACTGAATCTGAGACCCACAAGGTGCCTCCATGGCGTTCTGGAACTCCATGGGTGAGCACAGCAGCCATCAGTTACCTGGGCATGGAATGTTGCCACTGGTTGCCAGGGGCACTCCTGGTTCCAAGGTTCTGTTGGCACGGAGTCTGTTGAGCCAGTTGAGGGATTCTCTGCTGCGCAGCAGACGCAGAGCATCCTTCTTCTCCATCCCGCGAGGGAATAGAGAGCGATTTGGTGACTTTTGCAGGCCAAACTCTGGACTGACCGTACAGGTGAGTGCAGACGATTCGTGGAAAGGCTTCTGATGCTGAGGGGCTGGGCTGGGCTGCAGGATGGGCTGCAGGTGGGCTCAAGTACCAGAGTCATGGACTTTGCCTCTAGCTTTGGACAGGAACTGGAGACTTGGGAATGGGAGTCTTAGGGCATGGGAGTGTTCAAGAAAACTGGCAATCCAAATGGATAATCTCACCTCTACTTTTCTAATAGGTTTGGTGAGCAATTTTCTGTCACGCTGAAAAATCTGCAGTGGGCTGCCTGAAGGAACTGAAGGGATTGGTCACATCCCTGACATTCCTTTTTTGGAGTTTGTCCCGCTTCTTTTGGTGGTTGTTTTTGATCACCAAACACCATGAGCTCAGTAAGTACTTTGCAACTCAATGCAAATCTGATTCTTGAAACGTTTTCCAGGGTAGGTCTAGAAAGCATTTCAAGAGTTTGTAGCAAATGCAGAGGAACAGAAACCTTTGAAAACTTCATGTAACTTGATGTTCTGGAAATGGGAAGGTTTTGAATCTCTGTGGGGGATAGAAGTAGTGCAGAAATGCTTACGGTGTGAGCAGCAACCTGCTGGAATTGGGAACTGGTCACCTCATTTTCAAGCCATTGGGACAGTTCTTTCTCGGGGAGGTGGCTTATTGGAGATCAGGGGTGCTGTCTTTTCCCTGATGTGATGCACTCGGGTGGGAATGGCCCATAGCAGCATTTGGTGTGTATTCCAGCCTTTGCAGGAGTGTCTTCTGTATCCTTGTGTGCTGTCATTGGTGTTGCAAAACCCAAGGGCCATGTTAATATTCGTGGCAGAGAAAATGCTAAGGCTTTGTTCCCTGTCAGCGTCAGCGAAAGCGCCCTGGAGGAGCAGTTGATTCCAGACCAGCTCGGAAACGGAGCCGGCTGCTGCCCTCCAGCGCAGGTGGAACTTCGCAGATGGAGCCAATAGACCTGGAGGAAAGTGGCACACCTGCTTTTGAGCCTGGTAAGAACAGAAGTGGCTTCTGGAGGGTTGAAGACCATCTGGCCATGTGCTTTTGCCAATTTCTAGGCCTTTTACTGGGGAGGAAGGGAAACCTTGGGATTGGGGAAGCTCCTGGTATGGCATCCCTAAACAGCAAGCCTTCTGACAACAGTTTTGGTTTGTTACTGAGATCATTATTGCTGCTGCTTGGAATTTCTGCTCCTATTGGCTGCAAGTGGGAAATGAGCTGTGTAGGAAAGGTCCTCCAGTGCTGCTCAAACACCTGAACGTGTGTTCTGATGAGCTGGCAGTCACTGCAGCTGCCACAGTGGAGGGTGGCAGGAGAGCTGAGTTTGAGATCTCCCAAGCTGGATGGAGATGAGGAAAACCTGTCACTAGCTCTGCCCTATCCTTCAAGGAACCAATGTACAGCATGGTGCCAGAAAATTAGTAATTGCTGTGGTTTGTTTGTTTGGTTTGTTCTATATGAAATGAATCATCTGTTGATGTGAACCTCCTGTAATCTGTAGTCATCCAAAAGAACCTGTGAGGAGCTCAGCTGCCCTTCAGCTTGTTTTGCACAGGGTCTGCCCTGCTCTCTGTGCACTGTTGAGGGCAAAGCTTGAGTGAAATGTTGGACACATTCCTGAACCTGAGGGCACGGTGAATCCAGCCACAGCCTGTTCTACAATGGCCGCCCATTGCATTCCTCTGTAATCTCTGACCATGGTTCTAATGTTCTCTCTTTTCAGCTGCTGGAGAAGTCATAGATCTCACAGGTGTCTCTTCTGAGCCTGAAGTCATCACTATCAGTGATGATGAGTCTCCTGTGGTAAGTAATGACTGGCACACTCTTCTCCATCTTGCATTCAAATTTGTTTTCTTGCCTGTCTTCTGAAATCTTACTGAGTACCCTGGCCTCAAAGGTTGAATGATGCCTCTGATTTGCCACAGTTTAGTCAGCCGTTCCCAGTCAGAAACACGCTCATGAACACATCAGCATGCCTGAGAACTGCTTGCAGAGAGTGGGTGAGCAACCTAAAAGGTTGTTGCTTCTGTGACTTAAAGGAGAGCACAGGAAGTCTTTGACTTCCCAAGGAAGAAGTGTTTGAGCTGCAACATCAGTTTAAGATACCTCTGTCACTGAGGTGCAAAATGCAAGTGCGGCTGACTGGTTTCTTATTCCAAGAAGCCTTTAAAAGGGTCACATTTGGTATTTTTTCCTTTTCCCCTACTAGTTGGTAAGAATATGCTTGGATCCAGCCCACAGTGCAATGTATCTGCTCAAATTTGGGATGCCGCTGCTGCTGTGCAAAACAGAAACATGCAGCAAACAAAGCACCGGAGTTACATCCTGACAGAGTTGTTCCTGAACCGTTGCAAAGAAAAGGCTTCAAATTTTACAGCAGAATTTGCATGACCCAGTGCCACATGCACCAAATGCAAGAGCAGGGCTGGGTACAGGGCTTTTTCCTCTTCAGCAGCTTTTCATACAATAAGTAGTGTTCAGGCTATCACAGGTGAAATTGCCAGTTTGGGGGAGAAAGAGAGAAAGAAATGGCTCCATCCCAAATCCAATTAGGGAACTGGAATAGGGACGCAGGAAGTACAGTGTTCAGGTGGTTCCTAAGTGGTGGTTCCATTTCCACCCCATTTCAGGACAGGCAGCAGAGCCAGCAGCAGCCACATCTTTCCAGAGTGTCAGAGAATTCAGCCGAGCCACTGGCAAAGAACGATGAAGAGGAACCTGGAGAAGATGATGGGTATGTGAGAGCGAAAGTGTCTATCAAAACTCTAATTTCAGATAAGTGGTCAAAAGATGTTTTTGCCAAGCTTTTGGGTTCTGCCTAACTCTGTGCAAATACTTCAGAGCTGGCATCTAGTGGCCTGCCTGGAAGAGAATTAAAATAAGCCCAGCAAAATCCAGCAGAAGCCTTTCTTCTCTGTTTGTGAAGCCTTAGCTTCTTAGGAGCTGTCCATCTAACATCCAATGGAAGAGGATGGCTGGATACCCCATCCACAGAAATTCTTGGAATGATTGTGTTTCTGGGCTGGGATGTTTCTTAATCAGAAGAGGGGATGTTTTAAGTACAGGTGTTTTCTCTGTTAGTAACCCTTGATGTCCAGTGAAATTTTTATCTCATGTTTAAAAGGCTGCATGTTCTTTTGGTTCTGCTCTCTTTTAGTGCATGGCCAGCAGGTCCTTCTGGTCCTCCAGTGAGGGAGGGTGACAACTCACAGGTGCAGGACAAGGGGCAGAGCCAGCAGCACTCACTTGGCCCCAGCGACACCGAGAATTCAGCTGAGCTTCGGGCAAGTGACAGTGAAGAGGAACCAAGTGATAATGATGAGTATGTGACTGATGAAGTGTCTCTCCAAAGTGTAATTTCTGATACATGGTAGAATCAGGTTTTTGCCAAACTTTTGAGTTCTACTTGATTCAGCTTGGAGAATTCTTACTTGACACGTAGTGACTTGTCCGGAAGAGAAGTAACGGAAAGAAAGCTCTAAAAACCCGCAAAATCCCGGAGGAACCTTTCTTTTCCAATCAGGAAGTCATTACTGACTTTTTCTTACATTATGCATTGAGATACACTGCCGTGCTTGCAGTACATAAAAGCTCTTGCACTGACTGTGTTTCTGGGTTGGGATGTTGCCAAATCAGAATGAGGGGTTATTTCTATTTTTGCAATTTTATGTCGTGGAAGCCCTCTGTGCTCCGTGAATTTGACAGCTGCATGTTCTTCTGGTTCTTCTCCCTCTAGTGCATGGATGACATGTCTCCTGAGTCCTTCAACTTGTGAGGATGACAATGCAGAGGTGAGGATCCACAGCCCTTGCTGAGAAGCTCCAACCTGCCCATCCCTCCAAGCCCTTCCTTGATGGTGTCCATAGAGGGAGAAGCCCTTGCCAGGATGGCACTGGCAGATCTGTGTGTTCCTTGTAGTTCTAGCATTGAGTGACAGGCCGCACATAGTCCAAGTCCAGTTTGCCTGGTGCCAATAGAGCAGCAAACTGGAATTCTGTGCTGCAAATTCCTGTTGTGGCTTCTGTTGTTTAGCATCTGTCCATCTAAGACAAAATCTTTAGACTAATGATTGAGCCTTTTGGGGGAGAAAGAGGGAAAGAAAAGACTCCATGCCAAATCCACTTAGGGAACTGATACAGGAAAGCAGGTTGTTCAGGAAGATTCAGGCACCTCCTAATCTGTCTCCATTTTTACCCCATTCTGGGAGCAGAGCCAGCAAGACCCACTTGATTCCAGAGCAGCAGAGAATGCAGCTGAAGTACTGGCAGATGAGAATGAAGAGGAACCACAAGATATTGAAAGGTATGTGACAGATAAAGTGTCTCTTCAAAGTCTAATTTCTGATATATGGTAGAAAACCGGTTTCTGCCAAGCTTTATGGCTTTTCTTTTCTGTTCATGAAATCCTAATGGAATGTATCTTTCTGTAACACTGTAGTAACACTGAAGAGGCTGAAGTATATGAAAGTAATTGAAATGGGGCTGGGATGTTGCTAAATCAGAAGAAGGGATGTTTTACTTTCTGGCATTTCTGTATCAATAACCTGTCATGCATGGTGCAATTAATGGCTGCATGTTCTTTCTGCATCTGTTCTCTATAACACAAGGCCCTCTGCTAGTCTCCTCTGCGTGATTTGCATGAGTTGTTACTCACAGGTAAGGATCCACCTGTTGTTGTCCTTTCAGATTAGTGGGAGGGAAAGGGACAATAGGGGAGCTCTAGAACAACTCAGTTGTTCTAGATGGGTGCTATGGGCAGCTGTCTGGAAGAACAGCCCTTGCTGGGAAACTCCAGCTTGCCCATCCCTCCAAGTCCCTCCCTGGTGGTGTCCATAGAGGAAGAAGCCCTTGCCAGAATGGCGCTGGCAGATCTGTGTGTACCTTGTAGTTCTAGCATTGACTGATAGAATTAATTACTCCCAAATTTCTGTGGTGGCGTCCTTTCTTTAGCAGCTGTTCATCTAACAGGAAGTGTCAAGGTTATCATAGCAGAACTTGCCACTTTTGGGAGAATGAGGGAAATAAACAGCGCCAGGTCAAATCCAAATAGGGAACAGGAACAAGGGAGGAGGGTGTTCAGGGGGTTCCTATGCTGCCTCTGTTTGTCCCCTGTTGCAGCAATGAGAGCAGAATCAGCAGCACCCACTTCTTTGCTTTTCAGGGCAGCGGCTCTTTGTGCTACTGCTTTGATGCTCTTAGGCAAACTTAGAGGGTGACAGCCTAGCCTTGCTCCTCTCCTCTGCTGTAACTGCTTTCTGAGCTGGGGTTTGTGTGCAGCACCAGGGGGGCTCACCAAATCTAATTGTATCTTCTTTTCTCTCCCTTCCCATGTGCATCGATGGAAGCTTGTTGAAGGTGAGATGATGTTTTACGGTTGGTAATGGACTTTTATCTAAAATGTGATAGTTAGTTTTGTTGTACTTTCCCAAGAAAGTCGAGCAGCAGGGATTGAAACTGCTTTTAGCAAAAGGCAAGGGACAGGGCTAAAGCCTCTGGCCAGTGTCTTAGAGAACGGATGCAATGTGTGTGTGGTGGCCTCTGTCAGTCACAGTGGGAAATCCCTGCAATAAAAGTTGTAGCTGAGTACTTATGCAGAAGGAACTTTAATTTGGTAACACTTTCTGCAGTTTTGATTGATTGGTGATTGATTAGTGTTACATGGGCACTGGAGTTGCAGAGGTCATCGCTGCCTGCGGTTTCTGAGAGTTAAAAAGCATTTCTTGACCCTTCTGCTGTTACAGAGCAGGCCATTAAGAATGGTTCTCCCTGTGATTTGGTCAATATGTTGTCCACAAAAATTGGATTTGTTACTGGGGTGTGACAGGTAAATAATCATGCACTTGAGAGAGACACTGGTTGTTTATTTCAGTGTGTCACCAGTCTGGGTGCTCAGTGGTATTTCACAAATCAGACACACCCACTATCAAAATAACTTCTATTATTTATAGATTTTAACAAACAAAGAAATTAGCATTACAAGTGACATGGTTATCTCCTTAGCTCGTGTTCTGTCTTTATTTGGTTAATGATTGTCTTACTTCTCACCTTAATTAGTCCACTCAGTCTATTGCTCGGTCTCCCTCTTCTTTTGGGCTGGGGAAATTTCTTGAGTTGCTGCTCCATGAGTTGGGGGCTGCAATCTCCCCCTGCAGGAATTTTCTACCGGTCAGAGCTGCTTTCA